TCAGCCACGCCATCTGGCGTGCCCGCCGCTCCCGGCACACTGCGGCGGGCGGGGGAGGGGGCAGCGGGGCAGGTGCCCACCCGGCCGGGGGAGGGCACCGCGGGTCCCCTCGCCCTGTGGCCCCTGCACTTGAGGTGGGCACGGGCTGGGCAGGGGTGGCAGGTGCCTCGAGCGTCCCTGCTGCCAGAGCACACGCTATGCAGGCAGTGCCAGCCTCGCTGCCCCTCCGGTGGCCGTGCAGGGACCCCCGGCCTTGCAGCGGCTCCCTTGGTGGGAGGTGCCCACCTGCCTGGCCCCAGCCAGGGCCCCAGCAATGGCTGTGGCCAGGCCTGACACCTAAGTGGGACCCTCCTGCTCCCACAGCCCCGCACCTTGGTGAGACCCAGTCTCCCTGCACACGTGTGCCCGCCAACATTATGTGGGGTGGGGGTGGCCGGTGGCTAGGTGGCCCGCTGGGTGCCAGAGTGGACCGCAGCAGGCAGAGTGCGGTGGGAACAGGGTGGCTGGGGAGCGGGAGGTGCCATGAGAGCGGTGTTCTAGAACACTCTTCCTGTCCCTGAGCAAGGCCTGCGCCCGCTTGGGCGCTGCGGGCTCGCTCCCCGGCCGCCCTGGTGCAGCTCCCCGGTGCCCGCACCCTCCCAGCCCTCACCCCTGCCCCCCAGGACCTAAGCTGCATGAAATGGCTGCCACCCTTCAGAGGCAGCCATTTTAGGTGCCCAGACTGTGGCCTCCCTTGGGATGGGGCCGCGTCTCCATGGGAACCTCAAGCCCCTGTCTTGCTCCCTCTGAGGGGTGTGGGCCGCAGAAAGGGGGCCTTCCAGAACCTGACTAGGGTGCCCACCACTCTCCTCCCTTCTCTCCAAGGCCCGGAGGGGACCAGGCCCCTCACCAAGTCCCTTCCCCCAATGCCACAGGGAGGGACAGATGGCATCTCTGGGTGTCCTTCTCCTTTCCTCTCCTTCCTTCCATTTCTGGCTCTTTCTGTCTCTCCATCGCCGCATCTCGGCCTCTCTAGGTGTACCAAGGGGAGCTGGCTTGCCCCTGCGTGCTCATGCCTGTTGGTGCGACAGGGACACACGTGTGGCACCTCCTTCCAGCCCATGTCTGAGGCAGGCCCATCCCACACCTCCCTGTGTTCCAATTTTCCCCTGGTTTTTATTGTATCTTCTAAAAAAAAAAAAGTTGAAATGTGTTGAGAAAAACTTGTTCCATTTTTCTGAAGGAAGAAAAAACAGAGGGAGGAGGCGGGCTATGATGCTCCCTGCACCCCACCCACACGGGGGTCCTCCTGTGGGGGCGAGGGGGGTCCTCAGACCCAGACAGCTGAGGTCTCGCGTGACAGGCAGTGTAGGGGGCCTCTCAGGGGCTCCCTAAACCTGACCAAGGCTCTGCCCCTGCTGTAGGGCCCTGGAGACCCCGGTGAGCTGGCCTTGGTCCTCCCTGGTGTCCAAGCAGAAGGCAGGGAGGGAGGATCCTTCTCTTACCCATCCACGCACTCACCCAGTAATTTACAAAAATTCCATTTCTTACAGACAGACCATTCTGGATGTGCGCTGTGGGTGGGGGTAGGTGCGAGAAATTAATATTGTAAAACACATTACAAACTGTTTCAGTAAAAACAAGAGCTGGCATTTATTGAAGACTTGCCTCAGTCCACGTCTTAGGCCACTGAGTGATAACAGCCCTAGAAAGGGGTGGCGGCAGGGTCCCCATTGTGCAGATAGGGAAGTTGAGGCTGATGAAAGTTTTAGAATTGGCTCAAGGCACGGAACAGGTTTGAAAAAGGGGATTGAGCAGCCAGGTCCAGTCCTGGGAAGTCCGGAGCACATCACAGGGTACCACAGAACCATGGGACTCAGAAGGACCACTTGGCAGAAGTGGGGGGTCCCGTAAAGGGAAGTAAAGTCTTTGAGGGGGTGCCCCAAATCAAAGGGTACCGCCCACCTGGAGGCCCATTCTTGTTTTGTCTTTTTGAGACAGGGTCTCACTCTGCAGCTCAGGCTGCCCTTGAGCTCTTTTTGTAGTCCAGGCTGGTCCCAAACTCGCAAAGATCCTTCTGCCTCAGCCTCCCAAGTGCTGGGATTACTGGTGTGCACCACCACGCTCAGGCATGAAGGCCCATTCTTGACTTCTGCCTTTGCCTTGGGTAGGAGTCACCTTCCCGAAGCAGGGCCCACAAGTGGCTTCTCCTTAGAGACCACCCAGGCAGAAAGCTGGGAGCAACTCCTGGAGCCCAGTACTTGGGCTCTAGACCCCAAGCGGCTCACTCCCAGGCCAGCCTGGGGCCCTCTCTGTCCCAGGTAGGGGGAGGGCCCCAGTCCCCAAGCCCAAGTTCCCTGGGCCATGGCAGCCTAGTTCCATCTGCATCTCCTCAACCGAAGGCCCTGGAGGCTCCTGCAGGGTGAGGCTGCAGCCCCCGTTGTGCCCTCAGGGTGCAGGGCACACGGGTGACCCCAGCATGTGCCCACCTCACACGGTCGGGGTGGGGCAGGAACTGAGGCCTGACACACGCGCGCCCGGCCGCCCCCTGGGGCTGTAGACGCATTCCCTGCGCCCCAGGGTGAGGAACAGGTGCGCATCCTTCAGCCTGCCTCCTGTATCTCACTGTGGCCTCGAGAGAGGGCCCAGAGGTGAGTGGTGACACGAAGGTCCCGCTCCAGCCTTCCTCGCCCAGACACCTGTCTGCCCACCTCCCGAGCTGCTCCTGGGCCCAGGTCAGGACGAGGCTGCAGGGGCGGGTCCCAGCCCAGCTCCCTGCTCCTGCCTGGTGCCCAGTCCAGGACAGGCAGAGGGAGCCACTGTCCTATCACCTGTCACCCGTCATTGGCAGAGGGAGAAGATGGCAAGGGGGAGAAGGGGCAGAAATTTCTGGGTCAGGAATCCAGACTCTGCCTCTCTCCGCCACGCCATGGGGGAGCCCTGGGGCCGCCCCACCCCCACCCAAACTCTTTTGTGCCCCCGGCCCCAGGAAAGCATCTCCTGTCCCCTGACTGCGCGGATCCACGCACACGTCCCCGCAGACACACACGCACCGTGCAGCGGCACAGACACCCAGGCAAACCTTCCCTTTCTCTGTCTTTCCCTCGGTTTGAATTTCGTTCAGCCACATATGTCGCGTGTGCGTGCGGGCGGGTGGGGGAGGGGCAGACGGGGATGGGGATGGCGCGGTGCCAGCACCCACCTATGGGGCTTGGGCCGGGGACGCCCCCACGCCCACCCGGGAAGGGGGCCTCAGCTGGCCCTTTGTGGCAGAGGGGAACTTCCTGTGGAGAGAGGACAAGCATAGGGGTCCCTTCTCCGCACCCCAGGGTCTGGTCCTGACCCACCTTGGGGGCCTGCAGGAGAGGAAGGGCCGCACCAGGACCTCGGAAGGCGCCCAGGATTGGCGGCCACCACCAAGCCCCAATTTCCAGCCTGGCTACCCCATTGTTCCCATGTGGGGGGTTCTCTATCTTGGGGGGCAACTCCTCCCACCCCCCTCTCCACCCTGCTTTCCCCGCGTTGCGCGAGGAGGGGAGGGCGGCTGAGATATTTATTTATTTCCTTTATTTATTTAAACTGCAGCATCCTTATCTATAAAATGAGAATGACCATAATATGTATTTTAAAGATAAAAAGTGCTTTGTTAATTTTTTTGGAGTAGAGAGTGACAGATGGCGGCGGGTCCCGGGGGAGCCGGCTCTCCCCCAATGCAGACGCATGCCAATCACCGTCTCTCATGTGATAGCTGCTGCCCGTGACGTGCCAAGCCCATATGGCCTGGCATAGAGGCTGGTACCCCGCCTGGTAGAGATGCCACACTCGCTCCGCGGCTCGCATGGCGCGCTGAAGACGCCGGCGCCCGCCGCCTTGAGGAGCCGCTGCCCCCGCTTCGCGACGATGGGGGAACAATGAACTAGGCGCCGAGACCCCGCTCCCCGCTCTTCTCGCCCCCTCCCCCTCCCCTCCCCTCTCCCCTCCACTCCTCTCCGAGGTAAGTTGTCCGAGAGGGAGCGGGGTCTGACCTGCCAACGTGGGGGGGGGGTCGGGCTGTTCGGCCGGCCGACGCGAAGGTCCCCAAGCCCCCCTTTCCCGGACGAGACCCCCTCATGGGTGTGCGTCCAGCCCAGGCGCCCTGGCCCCCCTCCCCCGACCCCGAGAGCTGCAGCTGGGGGCTGCGGAAGGAGGGCTTCTGCCTGCTATGGGCTCAGAGGGGGGGAGGCAGGATCTTGATGTGGGGGCGCGCAGAGGCCGAGCTGGGGACCCCCAAAGCTGTCCCGAAGGAACCTGCGACCTCTCCCCACCACCATAAAAAGAGAAGCAAGCAAACAAATTTGGATTTTTTCTTCCCATTAATCCAGTAATACAACGAGATCTGAAGAGCCGTGGGGAAGGGAGAGGGCTCGGGGTACGCAAGGGGGTCCCTGGCCGCTGGGGACACGGACAGGAGTGGCCTCGGTCCCTGCCACCTGGGCCACAGCCTAGCGGGGCGCAGGACCGAGGAGGGGTCCCCCACCTGGACTCGGGCTGGGGCCGAGGGCGGCGCTCGGCCAACTTGCAAATTGGATTAGGGACGTGGGGGGCCACCCAGGGGTGGGGGTCGGGGAGCTGAGCCTGGCCGAACGAGGGGCCGCTGTCCCCAACCGCACCGCCCAGCCCCTCTCTTTCACCTCCGGGAGCGCGCAGGATTGGGGCGGGCGCGCCGCCTCCTCATCGGCTAGGGAATCGGGTCCCTGCAGCCCCCACCAGGTCCCCACTCGGACCCGGGAAGGACCCGACGGCAGGAGGGGCCCCATCCCCGCGAGGGGCGGAGCCGGGTCCGGCTTGGGGAGACGGCCTGAGCCCGAGCAGGGCCTGGGTGGGGCAGCAGCAGCAGCAGGAGGAGGAGGAGGGGGCGTCCCGGACCCCGGGCCGCAGCCCGCTGGAGAATCGGGGTGCGGGCAGCTGGGGGCGCCGAGACCCCAGCGCGCCTTCACTCTGCGCCTTCTCTGTCCCCCGCGCCTGGGGCGCCCGCAGGCACCATGCTGACCCGCCTGTTCAGCGAGCCTGGTCTCCTCTCGGACGTGCCCAAGTTCGCCAGCTGGGGCGACGGCGACGACGACGAGCCCAGGAGCGACAAGGGCGACGCGCCGCCGCAGCCGCCGCCTGCGCCTGGGCCGGGGGCTCCGGGGCCCGCCAGGGCCTCCAAGCCGGTGCCCCTGCGGGGAGAGGAGGCGCCCGAGGCCGCGTTGGCGGAGATCAAGGAGGAAGGCGAGCTGGGCGGCGAGGAGGAAGAGGAGGAGGAGGAGGAGGAGGGGCTGGACGAGGCGGAGGGCGAGCGGCCCAAGAAGCGCGGGCCCAAGAAGCGCAAGATGACCAAGGCGCGCCTGGAGCGCTCCAAGCTGCGGCGGCAGAAGGCGAACGCGCGCGAGCGCAACCGCATGCACGACCTCAACGCCGCGCTCGACAACCTGCGCAAGGTGGTGCCCTGCTACTCCAAGACGCAGAAGCTCTCCAAGATCGAGACGCTGCGCTTGGCCAAGAACTACATCTGGGCGCTCTCCGAGATCCTGCGCTCCGGCAAGCGGCCGGACCTGGTGTCCTACGTGCAGACCCTGTGCAAGGGCCTGTCGCAGCCCACCACCAACCTGGTGGCCGGCTGCCTGCAGCTCAACTCGCGCAACTTCCTCACCGAGCAGGGCGCCGACGGCGCGGGCCGCTTCCACGGCTCGGGCGGCCCGTTCGCCGTGCACCCGTACCCGTACCCGTGCTCGCGCCTGGCGGGCGCGCAGTGCCAGGCGGCGGGCGGCCTGGGCGGCGGCGCGGCGCACGCCCTGCGGACCCACGGCTACTGCGCGGCCGCCTACGAGACGTTGTACGCGGCGGCGGGCGGCGGCGGCGCCAGCCCGGACTACAACAGCTCGGAGTACGAGGGCCCGCTCAGCCCGCCGCTCTGCCTCAACGGCAACTTCTCGCTCAAGCAGGACTCGTCGCCCGACCACGAGAAGAGCTACCACTACTCTATGCACTACTCGGCGCTGCCCGGCTCGCGGCCCGGCGGCCACGGGCTGGTGTTCGGCTCGGCGGCCGTGCGCGGGGGCGTGCACTCCGAGAACCTGCTCTCCTACGACATGCACCTGCACCACGACCGGGGCCCCATGTACGAGGAGCTCAACGCGTTTTTCCATAACTGAGACCTCTAGCCAGTCGGGCCCTCTTTTTCTTCTTTCGCCTTTGCCCGTCCCTCCGCTCCAGCCCCTTCCCAGAGGGCAGGGGCTCCCGACCTCGGGTGCGCACGGGGCACTGGGCGCCAGCAGCGAGGCGTCGCGGCGCGGTCCGCAGCTGTGGGTGGCTTGGCCTCCCGCGCCTCGCTTCCTCCCGGGGGACCCGCCTTCTTTCCCGAGGGGCTCCAGGCTCCCTTCGCCCAGGGAGCGCGCCTCCAGGGACCTCTCTCCTCGTGCTCCTGGGAGACCCCCCTTGCCAATCCCATCTCTCAGTTTCTTCTCCCTCCTCCCTGCGTTGTCCAGGGGGCAGCTGCGGGTGGGGCGTGCTTTTCCCCTCCCGCTATTATTTTAACAACAGACCCCAAGCTGCCTTGGCCTGGAGCCCCTCTTTCTAGCAGAGGGCAGAGCGCGGGCCTGGAGCGCCTTCCCCACCCCCTACCCTGAATCTCCGCGTGCTGCAATTTTCATTTTGGCGGGAGGGGATGTGGATTGCGAGGAAAAAGGCCAAGACAATTTGTAACTCTTTTCCTTTTCCTTTTTTTTTTTTTTTAAACAAACAAACACAAAAAAAAAAAAAAGCTAAGAGGCGACGAAGGCCGAACTCAGAGTCCGGATCGGAGAGAAAACGCAGTAAGAACTTTTAGAAGCAATAAAAGGAAAAAAAAAAACCTACCAATAATAATAATAATAAAAAGACACAAATATCTATGCAAGGAGGTTCTGACTGAGCCTAGCGGCCCGGCCCGGCCCGGGGCGCCCGCCCAGCGCGGATCTGTGCACTTTGGTGACGTGGGGGCTATGCCGCCCCCTCCCCTCCCCAGGTTCTTACAATCAGTGACTCGGAGATTTGGGGCCCCAGTGCCACTGCCCTCCCCTGCCCCGTCCCCGTTGTGCGTCATACTGTTTTTTAAAAACCTGTTTCCAAATTTGTATGGAATGGCAAACTGTTGGGGGGTCGGTTTGGGGAGGGATGGTTTGCATGAGCGACATACACGTACCCCACCTCACGCACAAGCAGGCTGGCGCTGGCGTCCTGGGGCAGGGGGCCTGCGCGCTGCCCCTTCCTCCCTGCGGGCACTTCCGTCCCCTCTTGGGGAGAGGCCAAGGGGACAGACCTGGGGCAGCTCCGCCCCTGCCTAGACAGGGCTCAGGCCGGTGCCTGGTGCCTGGCGACTCCTGGTGGCTGGAGAGCGGTTTGGGCCCTCGGTGTCCTCCTGGCTTGAGCCAGCAGGTGGCTGGGGAAGGTAGGGGGCCCCTTCTACAATCTTCCCCAAAAGGGGTGCACAAGGTGAACCTCAACCCACCGGAGGCAGGGCATCAGGCATCCAAACACACGATGCAAAAAAAATGCACACCCACAGGCGACACACCCACACACGCACCAACACACACGCAATTTTACCTTCCTCTTGTAGTGAAGATGAAACTCCCGTCGGACACCCGAAGTGCATTGCGTGTTTCTGTTCAGTTTAATGACGATTAATAAATATTTATGTAAATGAAATGCAAAGCCGGACCCGGTTTCTCACGGTGGCCTCCTTTTATGGGGGGGCGAGTGGGAAGGCTGGGCTTCCCCGCAGGGCTGGGGTGCTGGAGGCAGGATATCGGGTGACCTTGAAGAGGGCGGAGAGTGGGAATCTGGGCCTTCCTGGGTGGGATTGTATCCCTCAGCCTCCCAACACACACCCCGCAGAAACAACTGCACTCCACACCCCTCTCAGCCTGGACTGGACGCAGGTTCCTGGCACAAAGAGGCCAGCAGATTCTTAGGCTCTCTTGGGCCTCAACACTTGCACATCCGCTTCCTATTTACTTACTTACTTACTTACTTACTTACTTAGAGGCAGCTCTCCCTGTACAGCTCAGGCTGGCCTTGAATTCATACAGAGCCCAGGCTGGCTTCAGGCTGAAGTGCTCCTCCTGCCTCAGCCTCGCCAGTGCTAGGATTGAAGCCTGCCCTGCCGCCACACCTGGCTCCCTCTCCTTTTGAAACAGTATCTTTTCATCTCCGTAGAGACGATCAAGGTGCAAAGAGCAGGTCATTGTACAACCTTGTGCTCCCTGCTGCAAAAAGAAAAAGAAAAACAACCCAAGTGGGTAGAAATCAAGAGAACTATTTGAGCCAGACAGGGATATGTTAAATATATATATATATATATATATATATATATATATATATATATATATATATATATTAGCGGGGAAGTCCCTTTTCAATTTGTATTTGTGTTTCATCGGACTCAGAGGAATCACCTGTTTTATCTTTAGTATGTTCAGTATGTTGACATTTTGGGGTGTGGAGGAGGTTGGAGGAACACCCCAGACATTCGGGGATGCACCCTGGCGGAGCGAAGCGCCATCCGATGAGAAGCTTCTGGGCTCATCTGAGCGGCATCCAGCCTCCTGGTCCTGCCTCCCTCCTCCTGCGCTCTGAACTGATGGAAGCCTGCACTGGGTTGGAGCAGGTAGGAGCTCCAGGGAACCCCCTCAGGCTCAGCCCAGGTGGCCTCGCCTTTCCTTTTCTCTGAGCTTGAGAAACTGAGTCAGCTCTGCACCAGGTTCTCTAAAATATCCCTCCCCCCCTTTCCTACTCGGCACCCAGATGCCTGGACTATATGGGGAGAGTTTGAATCCCCGAGGCCTCAGTCCCAGAGCCCAGACCTGGAGGACTCCCAGGGAGGGACTATTGCTGGTACTGCTCCTTTCAAAAACTATCTTCACTCAGTTTAGGGCCTAATGGGATGGTGGCGTCGCAGAGGATGGAGAGTGGGAATGGGAGGGGTTGGTTATGGATTAGCTAGTTCCTCCAGCCCCAGAGGAATCCACCAGGTGGAAGGAGGAAAGAGGGTGGAAGAAGGAAGTCTCAAGGTCAAAAGGTGCTTTGGGTTATGCTGTACTAGAGCTCAGCAGTTCCCCCAAAGGTCCACACTAAACCCCTCCTTTCAGGAATAGAGACAACACTCTGCTGTGCTCCAACCGCCACCCCCCAACCAAGCTGTCCAACCACAGCTCTGACCCCCTCGCAGCTGGCCCCAGGGGGAGGCCTGGCCCAGGCCTGGCCCTGGGTGTGGGCAGCGTATGACCTTTCCCCAAATCCTACTGGGTTTCTCCTGCACTTTTGAAAGACTTGCTGGAGTTTTTTCAAAATTTCACCATCTTCCCTGGAAATCTCAGGCCTGCCTCTCCAGGGCCAGACTGCAGACTGAGCCCTCCGTCCCCAGCATTCATCATCGGAGGTTGCTCTCGGGCCCTTCAGGGGCTCTGAATCTCCCCTCTTCTTGGGAGAGAGGAAGCGCCCATCTTTCTTCGCCTCTACTTCTGGTGGGGAGTGGGGAGCAGGACACACACCCCATCGCCAGCCTGAAGCAGTCCGGTCTGTGCATGGTGCGGGCCTGGCAGGAGGGACTGGAGCGGAAAAAGAGACTCGGCACCCGTCCTGAGGCCTAATTCTTATCTCGCCCTGGAAACATGGCTAATTGGGCTTGTGTCCCACTCAGCAGGTTTTGCAGAACTTGCTGTGAACTCCGGGGCTGGGTGGCATCCAGGTGGCTTGGCGAAAGCAACGGACCCCTCCACGTGGCAGCCCTGGCCCTACCACAGACGTCAGGCACCCTTGCTGCGCCATGGGGTTTCCTAAGCCAGATTCCAGCCCCTTTTCAGGTTGCTGCGGCTCTCCGGACAGTGCCTGTGTGGGTGGGGTCAGCAGGCAGCACCCTTTTGGGGAAGGGTTTCTGGGCTGCCGGGGCGCTGCGCCTGCCGCGAGCCGGTGGCCCCCACTGGCCGCCCCTTCCCCCACGCGCTGCGCGGGCGCTCTCTGCTCTCCTCGCCCTCCTCCCCAACACTTAACTTCCCGGCCAGACGAGAGATGAGCAGGAGAGGAAGATGTGGGTGGACACGCGGCCCCAGACGCCCCTCACAGGTCTCTCCCTCTCGCTCCCGCTGGCAGCACGCACTCGGGCGGTGCTCGCCGACAGGAGAAGGGGGAGGCGGCCAGAGCAGGCTGCGGGGACAGCGTCCTCCTGGCTGCAGCCGGGGCGGCGGGGTCTCCAAGCACTTGCCGGCCTGCAGCCCCCCTCGGCTGGTTCCACCTGAGAGGGGTTTTCCCCAGGATTTTCCAGCCGGGTCCCTTGTCCAGAGTTTGGGCATCTCGGATTTCTCTGAGTCTCCGCCAGTTAGTTGCCCATCTGGCAAGAAAGGAAAGCTGGCAAGCTGGTGCTGCCTCGGCCCACACCGCTGGACTCCGCGCCGGCAGGACCTGGACGAGCCCCTGGCCTCAGCCAGAGCCCGGCGCTGACTTCCTCCTCGCCGCCCAAGCCGAGTGACACCCCTGGGAGGGGCTGGGTCCGAGGAGGGCGGGCTGCAGGGCAGCGCGGGCGCCGCAGCTACTCCCCGGGCTGGGCCCGCTTGCGTTTTCTCCCTTTCACAGTTAGGGCGGCAGGCCGACCGGCGGGCAGGGGTCAGAGAATTCGTTCCCCTCGGTGCAGCCTTGCTTTCTTCTCTCCCTCAGAGCCTGGAACAGGAAGTCACCTGCTCCTAGGGGACTCCGTGGATTTCGGGAAGGCACTGGTGGCTGAGGGGGGTTCTAGATGCCACGGTTTAGTACTCAAGGAAAACAGGGAGAGAGAGAGAGAGAGAGAGAGAGAGAGAGAGAGAGAGAGAGAGAGAGAGAGAGAGAGAAATCAGTTCAAACCTGGTCAACCTCGGCCTTGACTTCCCCTCCCAAGCCCGGGCCCTGACTTCTGACGTGGGAGGGACAGAAGGTCACCCCTGCACCCGTCCCCTCGCCACAGGATTCGGACCCACAGCCCAAGACGGTGTTTTCTCTCCTTTCTGAGCTGGCACATCCAGGTACTGGGCACAGGCCCAGAGTGGAGGGGACACCTGCCTTAAGAGAAGCCTTGAAACTCTGCCCTGTTTGGATCTCCAAGCAGCTTCTGCCTTTCTGTCTCACGTCCTTAAAATTCTCTGAA